TGCTGGTCTTTCAGCGACTTGGGCCATTCAGCTTCAGCACATGGACTCTTTGCTCTCACCTGGACCCACTGAAACCACCTGCAGAGGAGGGCAATGTTGTGGGCAGGGCTCAGGAGTGACATGGCCCATCACTACCACTGATTACCTGTGTGACCTTAGGAAGACTACTTTATTTTTGTGCTTATGCTACCTCAGTTGAAAAGCAGCGATAGTTAATAACAGTACTCTCCTCATAGGGTTGTTATGTAGATTATATGAGCTAATCTGTTTAGAGCATTTTTGTTTTGTTTTGTTTGTTTGTTTTTTTACATCTTTATTGGAGTATAATTGCTTTACAATGGTGTGTTAGTTTCCGCTTTATAACAAAGTGAATCAGTTATACATATACATATGTTCCCATATCTCTTCCCTCTTTCGTCTCCCTCCCTCCCACCCTCCCTATCCCACCCCACCAGGCGGTCACAAAGCACCGAGCTGATCTCCCTGTGCTATGCGGCTGCTTCCCACTAGCTATCTACCTTACGTTTGGTAGTGTATATAGGTCCATGCCTCTCTCTCACTTTGTCACAGCTTACCCTTCCCCCTCCCCATATCCTCAAGTCCATTCTCTGTTTAGAGCATTTTTAAGAGTGTTTGGCACATAGCATGAACTCAAAAAACTATAGTAAAAATAATAGGAATATGATAATTATCATGATAACTTTCAAACAGACCTGTAGAATTCCAAAGTCTACTTTTCCTGATAAAAGCTTTGCAGAGTGGATTTATGGAAAGAAAATGAGAAGAAGAAAATTAGGAGCAGATAGGTTAGAGGTGGGAGAGAAAAGCCAAGAAAATTTGCAATGGGGATAACTCAAAGTATAAGCAGTACTAAAAGGGTGAAGTTTTGAATAACGAATGCAAGATAGAAGAAGAAAGCTTCAATATGGAAATATAATATTCAACCCAGAAGTTGTATCAAAAAAACTCTTGCATTAAGTGATCCCTCAATAGACATTTGAAAAAAAAAAAGGACATTTGATGAATTGACTGGTTAATTAAATGTGATTTAGTACTAAACGCTTTAGCCAATAACCTGAAGCCTGGGTCTTTGGACAGAGTGAGGGCTGAGAATAACATGCGGTCTTCCTATGATCTTCTGAATAAGGCTAGAGGCAATACAATGGATGCTTCTCTGTCTCTGTGTTTCTGTGTGTGTGTATACACAGAGATTGTTGTCAAAGCTATTTGTTGCTAAGCAAAGATAATGAAAGGGATTGTTGAAGCTCTGAGTGCTTAATACCTTAATATGGTTACCCATAAACATTCACGTCCACCTCTTCTCTTAATAAACAGGCACCTGAGTGCAGGTCAGCCTGCTCTTCATCCATTTTCAGCACTGAGGAGGGAGGGAAGCTTGCTGTGGAAGATAAGGAAAGGTGTGTGTTATTTGGAATCTTTTCTTCTGGCACTTCTTTAGCTAGGTGGACATTCCATGACCACTGTGATACAGTCTAGCCAATTTTGGACTCCATCATCTTCTCTCTTTCCAGCATCCAGAGAGACTCCAGCTGTTTCCCAGACCTGTCCAGGGTGAACGACATCACCCACTTTGAAAGGCAGCTCCAGGGATGCAAAATGTATTTTTTAAAAAGTTATTTGGTGAGGGAAGGTCCTGAGGTCCAAGTTTCTCTCAGTCAGCGCAAATCTGACCTCTGCTCTGTCCTCTGGCCTCGTTCTGAAAAGATGAACAAATGGAGAACCGTGAGTATCTACTAAGAAGCAGAGGAGTGCCAGGTCCTCTGACCCGGATCATCACCTTCTGTTCCATTCAGTATATCCTTTTATGGTGTATCTGTTAAACAGTAAAGCTAATAAATCTCTACTTTCTTTAAAGTCAAAGAAATTGGAATTAGAACTTTGTAATTGGCAACCATAAAACTGGGAAGGAACCCACACAGCCTAGGAAGGAAGAATAAAGATAAAGCAGAACCACCCGCTTCTTGGTGCAATGATAGCAGACACGTGGACAACGTGGAGTTACACAATCCAAATTTGCTTTCATTTCATCTCTCAGGAAAAGCTTACTACAAACAGGGAAGGACCAAGCTCACAGGAGACAGATGCCCAAGATGAGAGAGCGGTTGTTATGGAACACGAACCCAGTTTGTCTCTTGGTCCAAGTGAATTATACTTCAGGCTCTGGAGCAAGTGTGAGGATGAATCCCTGTCTGGGATAATTAAGCAGGAGGTTTGTGAGTATTTCACGGGAGTAATTGCTGGGAGAGAGCATGGGCTCACTAAGAATAAGTCATGCCAGTTGAATCTTATTTTCTTTTGCTAAAGGCAACTACCTGGCAAGGAACTGAATCAAACAAAGTGCCAATTAATAGGAAGTTCTGCCATTAGGAATCCCAAACCACTTCCCAAGTACAGAATCTAGGTCTTGGGAGTAGGAGTGACAATATGGTCTAAGAATGGCATGAAAGACTTATGGGACTTCTATTTTTCCAGCTTTATGGAGGAATAAAGATAAAATTGTATATATTTAAAGTGTACATGATGATTTGATATACATATGCATCTTGAAATGATTACCAAGGTTAAGATCAAGTTAACACATCCATCACCTTTTAACTTTTTATTAAACTTTATTTTTTTGTGGTGAGAGTGTTTAAGAGTTATTCCCAGTACAGTCAACATGTGTACATTGGATCTTTATAACAGAATTTGTACCCTTTGACCTACATGTCCGCATTTTACCCATCCCTAACCCCTAGCAACCATCATTCTACTCTGTTTCTATGAAGATCGTAGAAACATAGAAAATCAAGAAGGATTTTCTTCTTTTTAAGGTTGAATAATATGCCATTGTGTATGAGTGTGTGTGTCTGTGTGTGTATATATATATATATATATATATACATATATATACAATATTTTCTCTATCCATTCATCCATTCATGGACACCTAGTTTGTTTCCATGTCTTGGCTATTTTGAATATGCTGCAATGGACATGGGGGTGAAGATATTTCTTCAAGTTAGTGATTTCATTTCCTTCAGATAAATACCCAGAAGTGGGATAGCTGGATCATACGGCAGTTCTATTTCTAATTTTTTGAGGAACAGCCACAGTTCCATAGTTGCTGCCTCAATTTACATTCCCACCAACAGTGCGCCAGGATTCCTTTTCCTACGTCCCTGCCAATCACCATTCTGATACTGAAATATCACTTCCACACATTTTGTTGGTTAAAATAAACCTCTCCTAAATAAAATAAAACTGTCCTAAAACTCTGGGCTTGCAATTCTAAGTGTCATCAGGGGCTCACCACGTATAACCCAGGTCAGTTTTTGGAACTTCTATGGCTTTCATTCTTTCTCATTCCATTAGCTGCAGTCTTGTCAATTCACACCTGAAATGGTTTTCAAATTTGCTCCTCCTCACTATTACTCCACCAGCCCTATAGCATCCACACTCTCTCCCCCACTTCTCTAAGAGTTCCCTCCTTTCAAAGACCAGCTTCTCAGCTGCATGGCACGGAGCAGCTCAGCTCGGTGCTTTGTGACCACCTAGAGCAGTGGGATAGGGAGGGTGGGAGGGAGACGCAAGAGGGAGGGGAGATATGGGGATATATGTATACACAGAGCTGATTCACTTTGTTATACAGCAGAAACTAACACAACATTGTAAAGCAATTATACTCCAATAAAGATGTTTAAAAAAAAAAAAAGACCAGCTTCTGCTCTACCTCCTCCGAAGGCTCTCTCTCTCTCAGTGAATTTATTTTCCCTCCTAGTTTTCCTAGGGCAGAGAGCCTACTTGCCTTTTCACAACTCTCTGAAGTTAGCTATGCCTTTACAATTCTGCATTTTCTCTGCTATTCTAATGTAAGGTCCTTGAGGCCCCAGCGCCGTGTACAGCAGTATTCTAAAGCTTGTCTGTTGGGTGAACACTCTTTGGCATTCTGAACTACCTTTCTGCACAATATGATTTGCTATGAGATATCCCTAGCAACAGCACAGCCTTACGGCTAAAAGTGTCAGTTGTACAGATTCTACTCTGTTTTAGAGCAGGACAATAGTGTTAAGTAAAGGCAAAAAAAAAAAAGTCAAGGTTCCCTGCCTCTCCACCTATGAACTTGGACAGGTGCTACTTTCCTGAGTCTCAGGTTTGTCATTGGTAAAATGAGCATAATAGTTGTACAGACCTTGCTGGGTTATCGAGGGAATTAAATGAGATTATATAGCTAAAAGATCTGTGGCACAGTGCGCGCACACACACACACGAGTTCAGTATTTCCTGGTTATCTCTACGCTTATTGCCTGAAAGGCTGAAGAGGTGGGTGTATGAGAGGTGCCCTATGTTCCCTTCCAAACATTCCAGATTCTGTGCTACTCTTCCTTGGTGGATGCTGGAGAATCAACTGGCCATCCTCAGGTTTCCAATCAGTTGCTTAGAAGACCAGCCAGGGTCTATGAGGCTCCAGGTAAGTCCCAGCGTCTTTCTCAGGAGCCATTTATTTGACCTTAGTTCTGATCTGAGAGTCTCCACCTTTTCCAAATCACCAAGGTGGTCGAAAAGGCCCTGCGGTTGAGAAATTTTTCCTTTGTTGGAGAATCTCGGCCCCAGACCCCGCATTTGGGCGTGTAGCATCTTTAGGCCCATGGCTTATGCCCCGACTGCGCTTTTCAAGTTCAAAGCCGGGACTCGGTTCTCCAGATCTGGCGGGTGTGGTTCAGACTGCACGTTTCGCTCAACGCACCCAAGAACATGTTTTGGACTCCCGCGGCGAGGGGCGGTGGGAGAGGGTATGGGTTTGCATCGGGACAGGGCGCGCACCCGCACACACTCTCCAAACCTGGGCGTGGTCGCCCTGAGCACGAGGTCCCAAGCCGAGTCCCGCGCTCCTCTAGGAGCCCGCGAGCGCCCCCTTCCCCCGCCGGCGCTCAGGCAGGGGCCGCCGGGATCCTACCCCTTGGCGCGCACCCCTGACCCGCCCCGCCCCGCGGCGGCCACGAGGGGCGGGCGGAGCGCTAGGAAAGAGGCGCGTTGGGCTGTGCGGCGCCGCCTCTCCTCCTTGCCGGGGGAGGGACGGAGGGGCAGGGCGGGAGAGAAAGAAAGCCCGACTGACCGGCTGGCCAAGAGGTGCATGCAACCGGTGGGAGGCCGGGCGGGCTGGGGCTGGGGCTTGGGCTCGGGCCGTTTCTCGGCGGGTCCCTGGCGGCGAGCGCGGACGGCCCGGAGGCGGCGGCTCTGAGCTGGCAGGCGGAGGGTTGTCTCCCGCGCCCGCCTGCCGGGCTCGGTCCGAGGATGCGGGGGGGCGATGCCCGGGGCCAGGGACGCGCTCTGTCACCAGGCGCTGCAGCTGCTGGCCGAGCTCTGTGCCCGCGGGGCCCTGGAGCACGACAGCTGCCAGGATTTCATCTACCACCTGCGGGACCGCGCCAGACCCCGGCTCCGAGACCCAGGTGAGTATCGCCGCCGCTGCCGGGCGCGACCGGAGGGCCCCGGGCTGGGAGTTGCGGCCGCACCGGGCCCTGAGGCAGGAGAACGACACGGACTGGAGGGAGGAGGGCGGGTGACCACCGAGCTAGGGGAGGGCACCAGGAACTAGCGCACGGTGGCCTGATGCTGAACCCGGGCAGGGACCCCGGCGGAGGCTGCTGCATGGAGGCCGGGTCCGGGTGGGCTGGCGCGGGGTTGGAGGCACCACGCCCGTCACCTGCGCTTCTGTCACCGGGGCTCCTGGGGGCGGCTCCCGAGCTCCGAGCTCCACTTCCCGGGCTCTGCGCTCCGGGCGAGGAGAGGCCGCGGCGCTCTCGCGAGCCATGGGAAGGGGGACGAGGCCAGAGGAAACTCTGGGAAGTTGGGAGTTGGGGACGGCCCCGGGCTGCGGTTGAATCCCACCGGGCGCTCCCCATCCTCTTCCCGGATTGCCCATTTCCTGTCCTTGGTCTGGGGTGAGAAGGGCGGGGCGGGAGCCGACGTTGGGCCGGGGACTGAGAGCTCCGGGTCCTGGGCAGCCGGGCCTGAACCCGTTCCCTCCGGGTCTCTCGGCGTGGAGGCGGCCTGGGCCTGGGCTCCCGGCTCAACCAGATTCCGCCACCGGGCACACGAAGGTCAATGGGCTCACGGGTCATGGCTTGTGCACCTACAGTTATTCCTAGTGAAAGTTTCGAAGCTCCTAACTTTGGAAAGTTCATTTATTTTAGCCTTTGACCAGTTAAGGTTGGAAGAGGGAGTTTTAGTGGAGCCGTTTGCCTTCCCCAAGGGTCCTGGGTCTCCCACATCTTCTCATCCACTGCTGGTTACTGAAAGACACATTCCTTCCAAATGTTTACTTGAGATTCTTCTCACCATGAGGAATCATTTTCTCGAATAGTCTCTCAACCTGAGTACTAAAAAAAAAGCATATTGTGGTTGGATTGTTAAAGATGGGGTAAGAAAAGGGCCCTTTCCCTGATATTCCTGTGTATAAATATTGGAAATGAGCTGTTGGTGTGCAAAGTATCCAGTATGAATTTACCTCATTTTAAGCCAATCCATTATATAAAAATTCATTTACCCAAGGATAAATTAGAGAATTATTTGATTCATAAAGAGGTATACACTAAGCCTGACTTCAATAGCATTTCCTTGATAGCATATCCAAAATGGGTCTCTGGGGTGAAGAGAAGTCATCTAATAAAAGTTTATATCAGATTTTCCCTACTCAAAGGCGTTTTTTTGGTAAAAGAAAGATTATTGCTCCGCATTGCCTGTGGTTACATTAATTAAGTTTATGGGATGATCACTAATGTGTTACTTCAAAGTGGAGAATTAAGTCAAGAAATATTTTTGATTTCAAATGATTTCCCCAGAGGTTTAATGCCCAGCCTTTGTGCGCCTCCTTGCTGGACTGATGTGCTGCGCAGGCTGCAGACAGGAATAAGAGCACTTCATTCATGAACTGGGGGCCCAGGATGGTGTCCTCACTGGGGAAAGTTCTGTCCTTAAGCAGCAGGAACAAGAAATAAACTAGCTTGGTTCACCCAAAGGAAGTGTTAGTGTTGAAACGTGCCGCTTCTTTGCCTGTTGACTGTGCCAGGAGTTCCCACTGTTACCGCACATGAGCGGTCCTCTTTGGCTTTACAAGAGAAGATGGATGAGGCCTCTCGCCGAGTTGCATGTTTAACACTCCACATCTTTTTGGCTGATTTTGTGCCTCTGCTCCTCTTAATCTTCGAGCTAGATCCCATGTTCTAAAGTTTCCCTCAGCCCCTGCACTGGGAAGCCCCTGAGGAAGAATCACAGAGAAGACTCCTTACAAAAGACACATCTGATTCCTTGGCTGAGAAATAGCCACAGATAAAGAGTATGCCGTGCTGCTCTCTGAGTTCCTGAAAGCACTGCTCTGCTTTCTTAAACTAGGGCACAGTGGCTTTGAGGTAGCCCCATGACCCTCGTGATCTTTGATTTGGGTCAGGAAGCAGCCTGTTCACGAGGCAGGCGTGGGGAGGGGGACCGTGAGTGCAAGGTCAGAGGAACTGAGGCTGAAGCCCACAACCAAAGTGTACCCTCTCTTCCAGGGCAGTGCAACTCAGGCCAGCATCTCTCTTCATCTCCCTCCTTCCTCTCCTTGCCCACATTAACTCTTACATCAGATGCATTTGTCTGCATCCCTGTAAAGCTGTTTGGTTGCCCAAGCCAAGAGTGCCTTTAACTTCCGAGCCCTAAAAGCTGAGTGGTTGGAGTAGCTGCACTGCCCAAAGCTGTGAATGGCGCTGCTGCTGCAGTGTAGTGGGACCCGGCACAACCATGCCCAGCAGCAGCCCTAGCATGTGGGTCCCTAGAGAGAGTTGTCTCTGTAAATGAGTGACTTCCTTTTCTGTAAAGGAACCCACATGAATGCCATGTTTCAGCTTTTTCTGCCCATTGTTCATCCCTGGCTACCCAGTGGTAGCTAGGTTTTCTCAAGCTCAACTGAGGAACTTTGGTTTTGAAAGGAGAAACCAGATATAATTCCCTATGGACAGCAGAGTGATACCACATCTAGGATGTTTGTTCATTTTTTCAATGGTGGGATAAGCCTGGGTTACAAATCAGTGGGCCATCAGAAAGGTTATTCTTTGCCCAGGTAGTTGCAGTGCTCTGATGTAGGAGTACAGTCCTTAGTCTTCCCTAACTTGGTATTGAGAGAGAATTTGATGAGGCCAAATCATAAATTGGAACTGGAATACCTCACCCAGTCCTTCATCTGTACCAACTATGGAAAGTAAAATTGTGGATCTTTAAGCTGAGGGTGAGCACTTTTCCATAGAGAGCAATTAGAATCCTTCTGTTAGGTGTCATTATGTTGTTTCATATATTGGCAGTGTCCGGCATAAACTCGTGAATCTCAGCGAATAGCCTTCACAGCAGAGGGAAGAGCAAGTGCAAAGATCAGGAGATAGGAGCGTCCTTGATGGGATGCAAGGAATAGTTGAGTTCCAGGGTGACTGGTGCAGAGTGAATAAGATAGAGAATGGCAAGAAATACGGTTAACGGTTGGAGGGGGAAGATCATGTATGGCCTTCTAAACCATTATAAGGACTTTGGTTTTTACTCTGAACGAGAAGGGTTTTAACAGAGAAGTGGCAACTCTCTGGCTGCTGTGTTGAGAAAATGCTGTTGAAGTTCAAGAGTAAAGACAGGGAAACTTGTTAGCAGGATTACTCTAGTAACCCAGGCAAAGGGGATAGTGGACATCAGTTTGAAGATACAGCACTAGGATTTGTTGATGGAATGGAGGTGAGTGGTGAGAGAAGAGGAGTTAAGGGTGACCCCAAGGCTTTTTTTTTTTTTTTTTTTTTTTTTTTTGTTGGGGGGGCTCTCACTGTTTTGGCCTCTCCCGTTGCGGAGCACAGGCTCCAGGCGCGCAGGCTCAGCGGCCATGGCTCACGGGCCCAGCCGCTCCGCGGCATGTGGGATCTTCCCGGACCGGGGCACGAACCCGTGTCCCCTGCATCGGCAGGCGGACTCTCAACCACTGCGCCACCAGGGAAGCCCCCCAAGGCTTTTTGACCTAAGCAACTCCATTTACTGTATAGGGTAAGACTTAAGGAGGAGCAGAGTTGGAGTGGGGAGGAAAATAAGGAAGTTTTTGTTTTATTAAAATTTTTTTTGTTTTATTAAAGATTTTTTTGTGTGTGTACATATTAGATGTGCGATGTCTCTAAGTTCAACAGGGACCTGAAGTATGGAAGTCTTCTTTAATGTTATCAACTGGTCAATGCTCATACTTTGTAACTGGGGACTTCACTCTCTCTCCTCAAGAGGGCCAGTTGATTGTAGGACAGCAGTTATTAAAAGGTCTTTCCTTGCGTGGAATGAAAAGCTCAATTTAACTTCTGTTTGTTGATCTCGATTATACTTATTGCAGTCAAAAAAGAATTCGTCTCTTCTCCATTTGGCTATTAGGGGGTAGCGATTGTAACTTTTCTCATCCTTTTGTTTCCGCACCTGGAAAAGAAAAGAAGATTGGATCGAATGATTTCTAGGTTTTAACCATGTTTTATTATTTTCCTTGTAAGTCTTTTCTTCTGAAGGGTGCCAACCACATCTGTGCCAAGCACTTTATGTAGGTCGTTTCCTTTAATCCTCTTAACATCTTCTAAGACCTCGCTGCTCAAAGTGTTCGACTGCGTGCCAGACCTACTGATGTGAATCTGTGTCTTAACAGGATCCTCAGGTGATTCATAGGCACTTTAACGTTTGAGAAGCATTGCCAAGAGATTGGTATATCTGAATAAATCGAACTGCAGAGAGCTAAACTAGCCCAAGGCCATGGGTTCCATTTAAGAAAAAGAGTTGAGCCTAAGTCAAAGTAGCTTCTAGGTAAACACATCACATATACTAAGAATCTAGGAGTTGTTGTCAATGAAAATTTCCTAGTTTTTTTTTTTTCATTTAGATGTCCTTTCTCTGTTCTGTTTTTCTATAATGGATTTAATCTCTAAGTGTAGGTTAAATTCTATGCAGTTATACAGATTTTGCTCAATATTTTTATTTTTACTTATTAAAATTGAAGTATCGTTGATTTACAATGTTGTGTTAGTTTTAGGTGTACAGCAGAGTGATTTAGTTTTATACACACACACACCCCAATATATTCTTTTTCAGATTATTTTCCATTCTAGGTTATTACAAGATACTGAATGTAGTTCCCTGTGCTATACAGTAGGTCCCTGTGTTTGTCTATCTTTATATATAATAGTGTATATCTGTTAGGCCCAAACTGCTAATTTATTCCTCCCTCTTTGGTTACCATAAGTTTGTTTTCTATGTCTGTGTCTGTGAGTCTATTTCTGTTTCATAAATAAATTCATTTGTATCTTTTTAAAAAATCCCACATAGAAGTGATATTATATGATACTTGTCTTTCTCTTTCTGACTTACTTCAGTTAGTATAATATTCTCTAGGTCCATCCATGTTGCTGCAAAAGGCATT